CTAACCAGAAGGCTGGCGGTTCAAACCCACCAGCCACTCCTTGGAAGGAAGGTTGGGCAATCTACTTCTGTAGTGACACTGCCTTGGAAACCCAAGGAGGGGTCACTATGAGTCTATGAGTTGGTCGGACTCGATGGCACATAACAACAAATTCCCTGGTTAATTTTACATATTAATCTGCTTATTATCTGTCCCTCCTCGCCAGAATGTGAGCATCTGTGTAGACAGTTTGTGTTTCTTTATTTTGTTTTTTGACTTCTGCTTTCCTGGGCTTGTCACAAGACAGGCATTCAATCAATATTTGCTCAATGACTAAACACATTGCTGATGAATCACCATTTAGATTCACGTGTTATTTTCTTTTGGTACGCTAAACTTAATCGTTTGATGGTCTTAACCTAGGTACCAGTGCATCTAGTTAAAGCGACTTTGCTCTGACCCATTTTGTTTGTTTGACGGTGCCCAGCTGAGGCTGGTCTACTTCCCCATTTCAGTGCTTTTAGGGTGAGGGAGGTGGGCATGCTATTATTAGTTCACTTTGCCAACTACTGTCCTCTGTTTAGAATTTGGCCTTTCTCTGCAGGATGACTGGGATTCCTGTGCCTTATGAAAGGCGATCTCAAGGGTATGCTAAGTGCCAGTCCCATTTAGGCCTTGAAAGTGTCTTCTAACTCTAGTGAAGCATCGACATTCTTATAACAGAAATGCATTCTTTGTTCTTCTGTCTCTTAGATGCAGCTCATGTATACTACCAAAATCCAGCCACCCAATGTGTGCAGGTACTTTTTTTTTTTTCAATTAAATCCTTTAAAAAAATCAAGTTATTAGATACTTGTTATCAATCCATGTTTGGACAGTAATTTGCTTTGTGATTGTTCATTATTAGAAAATCCCCCACCCCTCCTTCTCTATCCATAGTCCTTGAGCAAAGCTGGAACTCTCCCCAGCTGGCTTGGCAACTTCTCAAGGTGCCTGGCTTCCAGATGGGTAGTTAAGGCTGGTGGACCCTGCTATTTCCTTCACCACCTGAAAAAGGGTGAATTGTCCCCGAATCACCACAGATGGTTTGGCCCTGCTACTTAAGATACCATGCTCCGTTCACAAAAGAAAACACACCTGAAGAAGCTTAAGATTCCAGCAATATCAGAGCCAGGATCAGGGCTAAACTGAGACAGTGGGTCACCAAGGCAGATGAATGAATATGGTCTCCTTCAAATGTATACAGGCATATACCTCTTCCATCTCGTTTTGCTTATAAATTGATGGTTTATGGCAACCTTGCCTTGAGCAAGTCTGTTGGCGCCATTTTTGCAACAGCATGTGTTCACTGCAGGTCTCTGGGTCACATTTTTGGTAATTCTCACAATATTGTCAAGTTTTTCATCATGCTATTGCACACTTAATAGACTACAGTATAATGTAAACATAACTTGTATATGCACTGGGAAACCAAAAAAGCCCATGTTACTTGCTTTATTGAAATAGTTACATTATTGCAGTGGTCTGGAACCAAACCTGCAGTATCTCTGAGGTATTCTATTCTTTCCATACTTGCTCAAAATTTATTTATTGACTGGAACAATTTCCTATGAATAAAGTTATATATTCCAAGGGACTAATGGACCATGTGAACCTGAGCCTCCACAACCCTGAGACCAGAAGAACTAAATAGTGCCATTACCATGACCAATTGCTCGGGAAAGGATCACAGTAAAGGGTCTGACTGCAACTGAGAGAAGAGATGATCTTTTATAACAATAATTTTTAAAATGCTATTAAAATGAAAAAATATAGAGGCAGGGCCTAAAAGCTGTGTTCGGGGGCCTCTTTGCACCTCCTTGTTGGGGGAGACAGGCCGCCAGTTACATAGCTGTCCCTTTCCTTTACGCACATGAGAAAAATGTCAGTTTTTTATGTGACCAGAGAGAGAAATGGAGACAGAAAGCAGACAGACCTGGTGAAGATTTTAGTCTAGTACCATTTTTATAATAACCTGTCTCTCTGTTTTTCAACTCAATATCTAAGGGAGTAAAAACATTTTTTGGGTATTTTATGAGTGACTTGGCATTTGAATTTTGATGTATTAGTATGACTTTTTGTTTTCCCCCATAGTGAGGCCCAAGAGTCGAAGAAATCACCACCACTTCCTAAAACCTCAGCAGCTGCTCAGTTGGATGAGCTCATGGCCCACCTGTGTGAGATGCAGGCTAAGGTGAGTACAGTCCCTAGCACAAAGCCTTCAGGGCCCACAGCAACGTTGGTTTATCTTATGGAACTCAGCTCTGCACTGCCCATGTAGGAAGTCTTCCGTGTTGTCGTTCATTTCCCCAGACTAAATATAACGCAGTGGATGAGCTTCACTTTGTGCTGTGTGTCATCATCTAGACACAAAAGGTAATACGATCTAATCTCAAGGAGCTTGGAGTGTGCTTGGTAAATGGGCATATGCTCCTGCCACATACAGAGAATAGAAGACAAGCAGTTTGCTAAAACGTGTAAAGCACATATTAGGGATGTGGAGGGGCCCTGGAGATTTTATCAGAGAGGTGGGGTGGCACTTGGGATGGATGCTGAATGATGGGTAGGGAGGGATCGGAGGTGAAGAGATGGAAGGGGAGGTCCTTTCAGTTGGAGTGAGTCCTGAGATCATAGGCAGCGAGGGCCAGGAGAAATGTGGAAGGGCTGTGACAGAGACCTGCCTGAGCAAGCTAGAGGAGACCAGTGGGCAGGCCGAAACAGAAGGAGGAGACATCAAACTGCGGCTCTGAAAGGCTGTGCAGACCTAAGCCCCAAACTAAGATAAAACTTGCTTCCTTATTCTAGCCTCAAGAGCACGGGGCAGGCTCTCATCTCATGTCCTGGCAGTACATGTAAATCAGATCAATAAGCTTAAGGATTTATTAAGAGAAATAGAGCCTAAACCTCTTAACTAGACAAGTTCTAAATCTGGTTGGAAGACTTGATATACACACATGAAGTGACTATGACAGAATTTCAAGACAGTATATAAAAATATAGG